GAATCTTGCGCAGGTTCGGCGTGCAGTTTGCCGAACCTGGTGTCCACATCGTCTGCTGCATGCAGGCCTAGCATTCTATTTCGCAACTGCGCACCTCTCATCATGAGCCACGCTCGTCCGCCAGGCTTGCGCACTCTGGATCTTGCTCTCAAACTCTTCACCCATGAAAGCAGGGGTCAGCAGAATGATGGAAAACGCCGACTGCATCCCGAGGTTCAGAAACACCAACGCACTGGCAAAGAGCGTGTCGAAAACCCCAAGGTTGACCAATCCGGCGAGGAGGGGAATACTCCAGGCGCTCTCCTCGAACCACACCTCAGTGAACTCCTGGGCCTTCCTGGATGTCCTGAGAATTCTACAGGCTGTTGTGTAATATAGGGGCCTCACAAAAAATTAGAATAGGGTTTTTGGGGTACAGTATACTAGAACTATCATGAGGAACCCCCAAAATAGTATAGGTAACTATTAAGGCCCCTACATTAACCGAACCTCGTAGAAGTAGCAGCCTCAGATATGAACAACATGGACACACGGAGTATCTCGAACATTACTGTTCCTTTTCGTCGAAAACCCTAACCGCTCCTAACCCTTTGCACCGTGACCCGTCAAGTTTCGAATATTTAGCCAGAAACCCATCGGACCCTACGCTCTATAAGCCTCAATGCAACGCCTAAAAGCAAGTCCTGCTCCGACTCGACTTTCGACTGCTTTCTGCCTCGTCCATGCCGGCCTGGTGGGCATCCGGCACCTGCGATTTCATATGCGACCTTGCAACCTTTGCACCGGCCAATCCCCGGTGAGGACGTTCTTGATCATGGTGACGATGATAATGATAAGACATGCCAAGACCATGCTGAAAGGTGGAAGAGCAGCATGTTCTAAACCATGGAAACAGATGCATAGTGAAGCTAGCCTAGAGGTCGAGCCCTGAATTCACCCCAGAATTTGATTTTTTGCATTGCGCGGCAACAGGTACTGACAACGCCTTCCAGAGTGCAATGGGAAGCTGCATGAAGATGAGGGCAAAAGTAATGGTCTAGCAGGAGATATCAGCAGCAACGTCTGACCAGCACGGTGGCAGTTGCGACGCACGAAAAACTTAGGCTTCGCAACAAGAACCTCTGTTATCGCTTGCCATACGACAAAGTATCGCAATTACCGAACATAGGTCCTCAAAAACACCCATGTAGAACAATCCGACCCCTGTTTAAACGAGTACTTACACAAGGGTTTAGGGGGCTGAGTGAGTGGGTTATACCTGGGACCACAAGTCCCCGAAGTGGGGTTATCCAAATTATATCCTGATTCTTAAGTTACTTACTAAGTCCCTTGGGCATTTAACTAAGATCGCGAACTTGCCTCTAAGCTCAGCGTCAGCGTCTCCAGTGGCAAACTGTAGTCGTGGACGACCTTCGTGTCATCAGTAGGAGCAGCCTGCAGCAAGCCGTAGTCGTTGTGGTGGCGAAAGTTGAGGGTTCAGGGTTTGGGGTTTAGGTTAAAACTGATGGCAACAACAACAGCAGCAGCAGCAGCAGCAGCAATCGCGGTACTAGCACTAGCAATACCAGCTGTGGGATCAGTAATGGAGTGGAATATCTTTCGGTACGGACCGGGTGGCTGTTGTCGATTATCTACTACGGTGAACGCATCTGATAAGAAATCGCTCAAAATAAGAAATGAGACCCTGAGCACAGCTCCATTTCTTAAGCCAGGGTCTGGCTTAAGACAGATTTCTAAATGTGAACCAAACCTAAGGCTGAAGGTTGGAAGGGCTGGAGAGTTGGAGGCTGGAGGGTTGGGGTTGGAGGGCTGGAGAGCTGGAAGGACTGATGGAGGGCTGGAAGAGGGTTGGAGGGTTGGAGGAGGCCTGGAGGGTTGGAGGGCTGGAGGGCTGGAGGCGGGAGGGTTGGAGGGTTGGTGGAGAGTTAAGGGCTGGAGGGTCGGAGGGTTGGAGTTGGAGTGGAGGGTTGGGGCTGAAGGGCTGGAGGGTTGGAGGGTTGGAGGGCTGGAAGGCTGGAGGGTTGGAGGGTTGGGTTAGAGGGTTGGACTGGAGGGTTGGAGGGTTGGAGGGTTAGAGGTGCGGGTTAGAATGAGACCAAGGTTTTAGAAATCTACCAGACCCTGAGACAATCTCATATTTCTTGTCTTCCGATATGCCCAATAAGAAATTTCCAGGGTCCAATCCGATGAACGTCCATTTCTTATTGAATGTTTTCACCGTAATCATGCACACTCCTCGGAAATAAGTCAGTCAAGGTAGCAGCAGATAGAAATAGTCACCATAACCCTTAACCCTAAAGGGCAGTTCGGGACAACTCAAATTCCTGAACCCCAAACCAATCACCCTAAACCCCAAAAGGGAAGTTCGGGACCTGTCACGAGGATGGAGCTGCTGACAATCCCACGGAGTTTGCGGGGATTTAGGGTTGTAAAGGGTGAGGTTCACAATTTAGGGTTGCGGGTTGAGTTCTTACACTCTCACAACTCGGACAATCCAGGCGAGGTCTCAGGCGTTCGGGGTGAAAGGGAAGAAGCCTTCATGTCTTAAGGGTTTAGGGTTTTTTCAGGGCTCAGGGTTTAGATATCAGGGTCTTCGACCTAGGATTCATTGCAGTGGTGTTGGGAGCGAACACTGCCTTGAAATTGTGGCTGCCAGGATCCAGCCGTGTTTCAACGACCTCAGCAAGCTGCTAATGGGATGAATCGCTAAAGGCTCCGCACCTGGACCTGCAATCAAATCGTCAGATGCTTACGACTGTGGCTTGGGCAGCGTACAGGTCATGGATCCTGGTGACAGTCCTGATTAGAGCTCCGCCGTGCAATTCCGAAACCAAGCAAGGGTACTACCAGACTCCTGTCCAAATAGTCAGGTCTACCCAGCCTTGCAAAGCACCCGTCATAATCCTCAAAGGGCTCGCTCCCTTGATCGCTCACTGAAGAAATGAAAACCTCGAGCCCTCCTGAATCGACCGGCAAGGCTGTTCCTTAAAGCATTTCGGGCGCCATGCTTTCCTTGTTTAGAAGTCTTGGATGTGCTTTCGCAGAAGGTACGAGGGATACACGAAGGAGTCGGTTCCCGCAACCTCACCAACACCATCTACATGGAGCTAATCTGGGACGTGGCCGCATGGCGTAGGGCTGTTGACAAACTGATTTGGACTCGTCCCACCTCAATGACTTAGGGCACACTTTTCGAGGCTCCTGTGGAACCCGCCCAATCCCTCTTCGCCCGGGATGCATCTTCAGCCATGAGGCCTGCAACCGGGCCGTCAGGTGCTTCAGTTCAGACTGCAGCTGCTTCCGCAGCCAGGCCATCCTAGGTGCCCGGAGTCACCAGAATCAGAAAGGCTTTAAAGAGCTGAAGCAGAAATAGAAACGACGCTTGAAACTGAACCTGAAGCTATGAATCTGAACTACCGCAGATCCCACCAACATTCTGAAACATAACATGTCACACACACACACACGTGCACACTCGATTAAGGACCGGTCATCCACAAAGCCCTTCCGAAACCCCACACCCTAAGCCGCGCGACGAGCCTTAAACTCCAAAACCCCACAGCCTTTTTTTCCACGTGGCATCTAGTCAAAACTGCCGCTGGGCTGCTCTTGCTCCAGCACAAGCAGCCGCTCCTCTGGGAGCCTGAGATCTTGCTATAAGGAACTAAATCTTATTCTGTCATTCTGGATAGTACATGACCCTAAACCCTAAACCGAATGATATGTTGACTGAAAACAAGAACCAAGGAGCTGCACCAGCTCTGCGCTGAGTGAGAGCTCGGGCTCCTGCCAGGGAGAAGAGTCCTGAAAAACATAGGGCTTACCTGGACCCTAGAATACCTACCTTTCGAGTCATAGCAAGGAGCCACGAAAAGGTAGGTCATTCGGGCTTAAGGTGGGCTGAAAGGACGACTGAGGTTGTGGCTATGACTCATGATGACGGCAACGGTCTATGTTTTTGGCCCTTATGATGATATCTCGCATCGTGATTTTTCACATCTTTATCGCTACTACTCTCTTCTGAGCACTGACCACCGATAGTACCAGCAGAGTTGCACTAGCTCCTCATCGCTGCTACATGCCATGTGTGACTACAGTCAGAGACCCTAAACCCTTTTTGCAGCCAGGCCTATTCCTGACCCTCTAAACCCTGAGCACCACCTAAAAAATAAACCGCGACTGCGGGCAGTGTTCCGAATACGACAGGGTTCATGTTCAGACCGGGGCTAGGAGGGTTGTACGGCTTGGGGTTGAAGGCGAAGGAGGGGTTTGGGCTTGGGATTCGGATTCGGGTTTGGGTTTAGCAGAGCTTGACTTTTTAGCAAGCGTGCCAAGGCTGCGTAGGGGGTCTAATGCTTCTAGTCGAAGAAGCATGGCAGAGCGGAGCTTGGTGGGATTGGGAGCTTTGCAGGGGTGTGTAACAATTTGGTCCTATTTACGTTGGCTTCAATTCAGCAAGCTTGCATGTCGGGGCCCTGACCCTAAACTAATTCCCAGCCCCCAAGCCTTCCATGAATGCAAATCTTCTTCGACAGGCTTGGAACCCACAGGAATGGTTGGCGCCGGCATGGCTGGCCACTCGTACCGAAATCAATATTGCGTGAGCCTAGTCTGCAGACATTCTGTGCTTCTTGAGGAGAGATGCAGGGTGCCCAAGCTCATGGAGTGAAATCTTGGATGCTCAAATATCCAGCTCTTCCTTGCATAACGACCTCTTGCAGAATGCTACTGTCGTGACTCAAAACAGGTCCCAGCGTGTCAAGTTCACCTTCATCTTCCGAATGAGAGAGAACCACTCCTCTTCACCACTGCCCGATAAGAGGAGTTTTCGAGAGATTGGATCATCGATGTTGCCGCCTCTCTGGCTCTGCATGTCGGGAGTCTGAACCTCGACCCTGATTGCCGCAAAGGCCCTGTGCTCTACCGTTACAGTAACTCGTCTGGTGACCCTTATAGCGACCCTTACACCTTAAAGGAACCCTGTAAAGGTGCCGAGGATCGTCAAGGAATGCTGCAATGAGGCGATGCGTGCCTGGAAGGTCTTTCCCTTTATGTAAAGCTTCGGGTTTAGGGGTTTATGCTCTCGCAATTCGGACTCCGCCAGACGAGGTCTCTTGTGTCCAACTAGATTAAGCAACTAGACTGTGATGATTTAGGGGTTTAGGGTTTAGATTTGTGGTGCTTACACTCCGACAATGCCAGGCAAGATCTGCAAAAAAGATTAGGGACTAGGAAGTAGGAGTACGCTAGAAGAGTCGGTTAACACAATGTACATAGAATGTGGGATCCATAACAATTTGAACAGCCTTGTTAAGATACATCATACCACCACCATTATGATCGGGATCCCCGAAGGATCATATTGGTAGTTATTGAGGCTGGCCCTGATATTACATACATATCAAGGGCACAAATGCAGCGTAGGGGTTTGCAAAGCGCAAACCTGGCTGACAGAGTTGAGCATGAACTGCCCCTCTCTTATGATTGTCATGAGCTTGCCCTCATGGATCACCTGAAAACTCTTACAGAGCCACTTTAAATTGATAAGCTCCTGAACCCGAAAGCTACGCCAACCTCTCCTCGCAGGATCTTCGAGCCTGGATGGATATCGCCGTTGCAGCCTCCTGTCGACTCGACTGCGATGCATCGCGAAGGCCCTTGGGCAAACAATGGCTTCTGACTCTGGGTGTTTAGTTCGCGGGTGTGACGGGGGATGGGCATAATTTTCCGAGCCGTTGCAATTTCTCACAGTGCGCACGATTGCAAAACTATATGCTGTAGATATCCTACTACATACATGTATATTACTACTTATTCAGGGAGTGCGCTGATACATGCGCGTGTCGGGACTTCATCCACCAAGGGGGAAGTCACATCTTTAATGGGGGCTTGCGGTCCATTCTAGTCTTTTTGCGTTTGGAGCCCTGAGGAATCACACTACAACAATTCCCGTAACCCGACACCAGCTACGAGCTTCAGGATCAGCTCAGCCCTCGGAGCCTGACAGCTTTTCGCTTATCGGCGCTTATGGCCTTCGTTTGGTATCTTGAACTCCCCGTGGCTACCTTAGGAAGAAGCATGAGATGCATAGAGCTACACATGCCATGAGATGCATAGAGCTACACATGCCTTCTTGGAACCTGGCTGATGTTGGCTTTTGAGGGGGTGTGGCCTCAAGGCTTACGGCCTTTGATGGTTTGCCGAGTCTAGAGTCTAGGTAGGGTTTTGGTGGGCCGACTTATTTCCTAAGGTTGATGATATGAATCCTGCATTACCCATAATAACGAATATACCATAATTCCCATAGTTTAGGGTCCTTAAGGTCATGCAGGATTTATATCACCAACAATAGGTTTACTCGGTTCAAGGCGTAGGATATGAGGCTTTTAGAGCGTCGGCTTTGTGAGCTTGGCCCAACACTCACAACTGGGACAAGGCCAGGAAAGGGCTTGGGACCCACCTAAAGGCCCAAGGGACTTAGTAAGTAAGGTTACAAGTTATAAGAGTTTTTTCTAACTTAGGATAACCCTACCTAGAACACGTAGAACCCCAACAACCCTACTTACTAAGTCACCAAGTCCCCCGAGCCCTGAAGCAGGGGCCTATCAGTCCAAAGGTGGGCCAAGCAGCTCCCAGCTGCTCCATGCACGAGGCGAGGCGCCTCTGCAGGATTTTCCCAGAGACTCCGACATCTCTCGTTTAAATGAGGTCATGAAGTGTGATTGGGGATAACCTGAGGGTCTGCCGGTGTTCAGATGTTGGGTAAACGATCGCGCAATGTCGCTCAAGACTGCATCGAGCACTTCGTGGTGCGAGGCGAGGCCTTTCAAACTCCTCCAGGACCATCTCTTTGGCTTGAGCTTGGTACTCCGGTCCTCAGTCGCCACTTCTGAGCTCATGCAGTGAAGCTCATGACTCCGCAGGTTTTGGTGTGTAGCAGTGTCGAAGCGAAGCGACCCAACCTCGTGATCTGAGCTGCGTCTTGGGTACCAGTAGGACAGGGCCTACCTGCGAACACCTCACCCTCAGCCCGTACCTGTACAACTGTAATGTGACAGAACAGGGGCCCGAATGAGAACTAATACTGATCCTCAAGGCACATTAGTATAGCTATAGTGTAACATGCATTATACAGGCCCCTATTTCCACCCTCATAAAAGTCGATGGACCTATATCAGGGAACCTTTGTAAACGAATCTTGTTCCAATTAATAAGGGCCTGAATTATGCAGCTGTTTGTCTTTTCGTCAGATGGCCGAACTCAGTAGCGGAGGGGCTGCGTGCCACTTTGGGCTGCGCTGCAGCGATGACTGCGCTCCCGTCTGCACATGTGTGCAGGTGCACTGAATCGCTCCTTCACTTCGCTAGTCGAAGCTCACTTCACTCCAATCCAGCCAAGCATCACCTCAAGGGACAGGAGCAAATGAATATGTCACAGAATGGGACTGTAACTGCGAAACATCTTCTGCGCAAGCCATCTCGATCTCAAGTATCTAAGGTTGAACCCATGGGCCCCTAGTATGGGCCCTTAACCCTGGGATCCTTAGAAAGTAGAAGATAGATAATTTAATAGTAGCTGTCAGCAGTAACGAACTATGACTCACACTGTGGCGCAGGGTGTGGACCCAGAATCGCCTAGAGGACTAGAGAAAATATCTGAACCATCAAGCATTTCCCGTTATCAAACGGGCGTGGGAAGCTCCCGGCGCTTCGGACTGCTGGGCTTAAGAGTATTGCTAGGGATCCTGGAATCCGGGAATCCCCACGATGCAACAACAGAGTCAGTCGGGTCTCTCTGTTACAAGATGTTTTAAGAAAGATGCTCATCAAAGTTTGGTATAGGTTGAGTGTGATCGCTTGACGATTGATGGTCGAAGGCAAGCATTCACTGCAATCTGGTACCTGAACGATGCTAACCACACAGACCTGGCATGTTTCTCGGTGCAGCGCAAGCAATCCCATACCTAAACCAAGGCTAAACACCACACACCTCCGTGGCAAGATGTCCAGCACACCTTCATCCCCAACGCGTCGGAACTCCGCGGGTCGCTCTGCGGTGAAGCAGCCCAGGCGTTTCCACTCCTTAGGGCTGAGTTCCATGAGGAGGTTTATGGTTTATGCAGAGCTTACATGACATTGAAATAACGGCTGCTCAGAGTCCTAGTGTTCAAGCTACTCCGATGTAAGAATCTTGAACTTTCAGGCCTTGCACCAAAAGCCTTGCTTTGTTTCGAAGTCTGTATTGATCTGGTCGTACATCGTTGCTGAGTCGTCACTCTCCACTGGCTCAATCATCTACAAATCCTGAGCTACAATACGACCTGATCTTTTCATGCAGGAAGCCCTCCCAAACTGGACTGTAACTGCACCGAGGCACTGCCAACATGCCGCGACGGAAGGGGCCAAAGACCACTCCTGTTCTTGTGCGTCCGATTTGTGGAACGGCTTTGGGGTCTCAAGCAGAGATGTGGGGCTGGCAGGGGACGTCCACCGTGCGGAGCGGCCTGAAAAAAAAGGTTTCTGATGAGTCGCCTGCCAGCAACAAGTATTTAACAACACAAAAAAGACAATGATGGTTACCATCACTACTAGGAACGTTAACTGCGTTCTCTTTACTACCAAAATTATTCCTATGAGTATCACTAGGCATACGTTCTTTGTCATTATCACAACAAACATCATACCCATTATTAGCATTATATTGTCATCAGTATTATTCATACTATAGTATGCTTGGCCGACAGATGGCCTGCGAGTCCATGTTAAGCCTAGGGCTTGGTGGGGCTTATAGTTTACGATTTCGACTCTCGCAACAGGCAGTCGCTTAGGGAACCCCAACCCGACTCCTAGGACCGACAACGAAGCCCACGTCCGCCACCTTGCTCGTCGCCAGCAGCCCAGCGATACTGCCAGTTCCTGCGGAAAAAGACTGCGCGAGTGCTGAAAGCTGCCGTGAACACCAAGGCCTTCTAAGCAGCGCCTTTTTGGCAAGCATGTTTTACGTGTGGGTCTTCTTAGACTAGGTACACCCGAACTCTGCAAAAGACTGGTCTTGTTTTTGCGGTGCACGATGTGCCACGGATAGAAATTCCCACAGCTGCCGTTCTGACATTATGGGCAAATGGCAGAGGGACAACTGTTTTCAACAATGCCCCAGGCACTCGCAGCTCGGATCTTCCGCAGCTTTGGCGGCATCGACCTGCACTTGTCCCAAAATTGAGTTCTAGATTGTGACGATGCTGAAGGGATGACGGGATGATCTCGAAACCAAGTTGACGCCAAGAGGCTGAGGGCAGTCGGGCGGTTCCCAGCTTGGTGCTACAAGCTTGGAACATGTCTGATAATGCGCGGAACACGGCTCTTGAAATTGAGACCTTCTGCTGTACAGAAGCAAGCCGATTGGGCAGTGTAAACATCTGACAAATCGTTTATGGTACAAGTGTCACGAGTGGCATCTGAGTCATACAAACCACCGAGACTCAAACTTCCACAACAAGCGTAAACACTGGCCTTTGTTCGCACTCCCTTGATGCATCGGAGGTTTTGAAGGCTTAAGGTTCAGAGTCTTTGGAGCATCTCTCCCACTAATACCAGATGTATCAAGTCATAATGTCAAACGAAACGGTTGATGCTCGGTACAACACGCCATGTCTCTTGCGACCATGCCACAAAGCGGAACCCCATCCCCACTAGTAGGACACGACAGCGCCTCGGCGTCATTTCCCGGACCTGCTTTTTTGGCAGCTTTGGCCTTCATCTTACCTCAGGCTATGTCTGAGCTTGCTCGATCCTGTTTTTTATTGCGATGAGTTAGGCTGATGCAGAGTACGCGCAATTTCGGGCACGCACCAATGCCTGATGCCTTGAGTCTAGGGTTCCAAAGCCTCATCAATGTTGAAAAGTCCCTAACCCCTGCATGAAAGTGGACGCTGCAACGGCATGGTCTCTGGTATGAGTCAGGAGCCAGGGTCGCTTGGCAGGTTCCGGAACCACCGAAAGGAAAGTTTTTTTGTTTGGGGGCAGGGCCCTAATCCCTCATGATCCCTATAGGCCCTATGTGAGCCATCCTAAAGTCCTGATATTCTTGTAATGCTGGTTGCTTAGACAAAGAACTGATTCCTGAGCTGAATACAAAGTACATGAAAAGTGAAGAAAAGGTAAATAACAGCTGAACCGTAGGGTGAAGTAAAAGGAACATGCAAAAGAAGTAATAGAAGGTAACAAATGGTAACAAAAAACACTATTACCGTAAAATCTGGCCCGTCTGGCACGGGGTAGCTCGTGCGCGCAGTTTAGGAATCGAATTAAATCTGGTTCTGGTACTTTCGTGGGCTAGGCAGGAGAGGCCGCACGGTGGCTCAAACAGCTTTCTGTTCAGCGTGTGGATTAGCTGATTAGCTTGTCCTTGCTAGCGACTGCTAGTGGAGGTTGCCAGGTCGTTGCTTTCGTCTTGTTTCGTATTTCCTCGGAAAACCTATAAACTCCCGCCCACACATCCAGACACCCCCCCCCCCTCCCCGACCTACTGAAAAAAACTGGAATGCACGCCGGCTGCACAGTCCGGTGACCCTGCGCTGTTTTGGAGCCGGTTCGGGGGAAGCTAAACAAAAAACTGCGCGCCCGTGAGGCACGCTCACTCCCACTTCACCCGGTCATCCCTCCCCACCCCACTTCACCCTCACAGGTCCGAGCCTCAGGTTTCTGCAGTTGTGCCCCGATTGAAGTATAAGTAGTGATTTGTTCTAGTATTTCGACATAACTTTACAACTTTCATCCCAGCAGCTTCAACAATCACCCCGGGATGTCTAACGGAGCCATCGTTACAACCCTACATTGTAAACCCAAAATCCGACACGGAGCCTCAACAGGCCAAAGTCTCGAAACAAAGCTTCGACAAGTACTTGATCGGCGGTGTGGGCGTAGCGAACCACCCAAACACGACATGGACTCCCTCAGCTATATTATATATACTTCAGCCGTCGACCGCCTATGTCAGCAGGACTCAATGGACACCCATGCAGCATGCATTTTCGTGATGTTCGTTGTGAATATCACCACCAAAGCGAGCTGCAGCAATTTTCGCGCCGCATCCTGCACCTCCAACACAACATCAGAACCGATAATGGATCAAGCGGCGAGACGTGAACTTTACATAGAGCGCTTCAAACAATGCCCTGTCTCGTCAAGCTCCGTCACGCAATGCCACCATGTCTGCAATGACTAGAAACACTAAAATGACACGTCCTGCAGATCCGTCGCTCTTACGCATGCCCGGTGCAGATTCATGAATGGCGTGCCATCACTCATTGGAGACACCCGCCTGCAGGCCCTTTAAGATTCCTCCGCATAGCATAGCACTGCTGGGTGACTGGACGGCTCGCTGCCGTCAGCGCAGGCTGGTATGGCCTCACGACAAAGTGAACCAAACACAAGCAGGAAGCAAGGGTCAGGCTCAGCTCAATAACCACGTTATAAAGGTAACGTCGCCGCTTGGCGCCTGCGCGACAAAGGTGCGCGCTTCGGTTGTGGCCATGGCCTTCGCGGATGTCTCGGCAAGACTGGTGGCTTCACACTCCATGGCAACATAATACGTGCAATGTGCAATCTGACCACTTCACGTTTAATCTTACACCGTTGAAACCAGCGTAGTCCACAGGACGTGCTGGGCATCTCAGGAAGCTGCACTTTCAGCTTGGACGGCTCGCGGGGCAGCTTGGACGGCTCGCAGGGGGCTGGAGTGGAATCCTTTGCAGACGAACCCCAAGCCCAATCTCATCGCGCCTGCCGCCTTTGTTATGGCATCCTTAAGTTTAATGCTCAACTGCCGGTCAGTTAGTGACAGCTCCTGGAGAAGTGCGGCAAAAGGCTTGCGCGGTCTCCCGGTGCAGGAGCTTGCCAATGGGTCCTGGCGACGAAGCTTTCGGAATTCCACCTGAGATTGCAGAGCGGCAAGCAGCAAGTACTTTCTGGAGTCCGTCAGGGTCTTCTTGCTCAGCCTGTTCTTCAGCATCAAATTCCCTCTGATAAAGGCGGTACAAACGGGCCACAACACGAGCCAAAGCAAGGCCTGCCAGTCACTTCTGGCGTGTTGCCACCTGCGGACGCCCCTCCGCAACTCAGCATGCACATGTCCCCAAAAATTCTGGACCTCGGTGCACTGCCCTTGTGGTCCGCATGGAGCCTCAAAGGGCACAGACTATCGAGGACTGCGACGAGAGCAGAGAACGTGAGCTGACACGCACTCATAACCTCAAGCTTCCCATTGCATTTGCAAACCTGCAGACTTGTCTGTGCCCTGCTCCGCGACGCGCCGGCTCGTGAGCAAAGTCGGGTTGGGCCTCGCTCGATGTAACGGCAAAGCCACAGCAATGCTGATTTCAATGACATATGTACCCGATCATTGAGCTTAAACAGTCATCGTTGGTCATCTGATCCAGATAGCCTGTCGGCCCAACCAGATGGAGCAGCGGCAGCCTACCACTTGCTGCTTTTGTGCGAGCCGAATCCCGGCTACAAGTACAACAAGCCATCAATTCCCAACAAAAAAAGTGTTCCTGCCTGTTGGGGCATTACCGGCTCGCACTGCACCACCATCCTCACCCCGTCGACTACGACGATCTGCGCAGTGCCAATCTTGACAAGCAAGATCAGAAGCCCAAACGTTAGACATCGGAATTGCAGCGCTCGGTGGCCACGCCTTCAGATCACCGAGGTGAGCCATCGGTGTGGTGAGCAGCGCAGTGGCAGGGACAATGAGTTCGGTCAAAGCACTGAAAGCCCAAGTTCTTTGAGGCCGCTAATTATGACTGTCCTTGGCCTAACTATTCGGGATGTCTGTCCGGTGTCAAACCTGCTTTTGCGTTACCGTAAAGGTTCCTTGGTTCCTCTCGGCTCAAAACAGCAACCGATGCACAGCAGGGCGACGGCAACATCATTCTGCACCATGTTTTGGAACTTCCGGGGGCGAGTATTCGAGGGGCCTGAAGAATCTTGAATCTAGAAGGGTTGCTGCTATATAGAGGTATGCGGGATACTCTTACTACTTATATTCGAATTGTTCAATCCCTCTAGCAACTGTCTCCGTTCGAGCTGCCGCGCGCTTTCACGCTCCGAAGCTTCATCAGCTCAGCACGTGAAGCCTGTCAACCATTGACGGTTTAGGGTTTTCAAGCCCAGATTCTAACTCCGGTGAATGCAAGAGTTCACAGAATCAGGAACTAAGACTAAGAAGGCATCGGGCCCTCAAACCCTCAAGCCCTAGCCTCGTAAACCCAAAACTAAAAGAAAGGGACTCCCGGTGCCAAGCAGCTCTTTGGCACAAATCAGCCCACTGAGTCAGCACAGCTATGGGTTCAATTTTCAAGGGTTTCGGGGTTTATGTATTGACATAATTGGTTTGTCAATCAAAAGAAACCTGGCCACTTCCACCAGCATCCGCTTACACCCCGTGGATGGCGGCAGCGCCCCGGAACAAGGAGTGAGAAAGGCCTCGTAGACAGACGCAATTCCGTCGAACACGAGCTGGTCCTGAACGGCTAGCCAGTTGTTGGGACATCAGGAAAATGTTTAGGTCCAGGGTGGGCGAGGCCAGCATGAACCAGTCTGTATTGTCTCCCAACTGCGACATCATACGCTCATGTTTGACATCCTAGAAACCCGAAGCCGCCCGAAGCCAGCCACCCCACAGGATGCAGGCAGGCGTCACATAACTCCGAGATTCGCGTGAAGCTGCACTTGTCGTCCTCGGCCTGAAACCGACAGAAAACTATTTCCTCGCAAGTCCATGACATTCATTTCAACATTAAGGCTTGAACAAGCTAGCGAGAGCAGCGCTCAAAAGCTATGACCAGCAATCTCCTTCTAGAGAGTTTGGCTTGCGATGCTGTGTATACTTCAATTGTCTCACGTCGCTATTCGGTCATTCTTCTTGCAGGGTCATATGCTACTCTTCTCATGATGATTCGTCTTAAGCTGTCACAAACCTGGACCCTAAGCCCTCAACCCCAAGCTTCGAGCATGCTCTGGTATCTACGTGTTACAAGCCACTTCAAGGTATTCTGAAGGCACACACATCGGCAAAAGCACACAGAAACGAGACGACGACTTGGCCTTTTTGACTCTGCTGAAGTTGTCGCCTTCGCTCATCTTACAAAGCCATCCTTCTCATGCGACCCTGAATTCCAACTTGACCCTACAGTTAACCCTGATGCCCTGGACTCTGAGTCCTAGTTACACCCAAGACTTTGCCCTGAACTTCATAAGCCGTTCACCTCCGAAAAAGCGATGCTTGCAAACAAAGCCATGCTGCCGACTTCTCGGCGTCATTCGCCTTTCGGTTGTTGTTCATGTCTGTAATATAGGGGGCCTAACTAATTACCAGTACTTTTTTGGGGGCTCCTTATATTGATTATAGTATAATTGACCCCAAAAACCTTGTCTAATTATTAAGGCCCCTATATTATGCTTTTTTGCCATGGGCTCCTATCCGTCGAGCTAGTTCCAACTGAGAAGCTCGAGGTGTCAGGATTTAGGGCTCAGGGGATCCTTAACCCCGAAACCCTGAACCCTCAAAACCCCGTGACAGCTCGTTCGGGCTGCTATGGGCACGATAAGCGTACTAATGAATACTAATTACAAGGGGTGAGCACTGTCGATTTCACAGGAGGGGCCTTCGTGTGCCCAACTTGACACCATGACTTCACGAGAGGGTAAACCTAAGCGCTAGTTTACAGCCGAGCACTTGGGTACAAATGGACTTGCTTCCCCTCCTAAACCTTTCGTTGCTCAGCATGCTACGGCTGCTTCTTGACGAGCAACTGCTTTGCCTCAGCTCCGCTTCTCGACTCTTTATACTTCCAAAGATTTACTTACACTTCATGGTCATGAGTAGTCAGCTAAAAAAGTTGCCAGGACGATGCTGTCACACTAATTGCTCTACATAAGCCCTACAGACAGTCGTGTGCCGCGAGTTCACGCCCGAAGCCCTGCACCTAAATCCAAAGACAATCACCATCACGACGGCCGTTTTCATCACAACGACGAGATAGATTCCGAGAATGAGTTAGCAGCATAAGTATACCTGTAGCTGCACCTGTTGGTTTAAGACCGGTGGTCAGAATCAGAAGTGCAAGAGCAACCTGCAATTAGCCCTGCTGATATTATGGATATGCCTGGCTTGAAATTTGGCGGCCTGAACCCATTCTATGATTAGATACTACTAAAATACGATCAAAGGAATGTAAAACCCTTTAAAAATCAAGCCAACTTGCTACGCAGATGGCCCTAAGCTGGACAAAGGACTCCTCCGGCAAGAGCTTGCGCTACAAAGCCAGTTGCCCCCAAGCACAGATACCAACTCCAATGCCTTACATCTGGAGCTCAAGAACCTGAAAATGCAACACTTCCACAGGACCGAAGCGTGAGACCGTCATGAACCATATCTATATATATATATATATACATGTATTTAGCATTGCACACCTATAAGATAGCTTAAACAGATTTCTACATACATAAATGCATACATACATACATACATACATACATGCATACGTACAAACATACATACATACATTACACACATTACACACATTACATACATTCCATACATTGCATACATTGCATACATTACATACATTACATACATTACATACATTACACACATACATACATACATACATACATACAAACATACATACATACATGCATACGTACATACATACATACAAACATACATACATACATACATACATACATACATAAATGCATACATGCATACATGCATACATACATACATACATACAGACAGACCATACACACAGACACTCCATGGTGCGTTTCATCAGAACCAAAAACCGCCCATGTTGGAAGCTGATGTAATTTTGAGGGC